CTCTTCCGATCCCCCCAAAACCCCAAAACCCCAATCAATCCCATGAGATAGCATAATTATTTTAAATTATTAATAAATATTAGGATTAAGTTTGGGTTTCTATAGTTTTTAATTCAAGAATTTGATTTTTGAAGAACTAAAGATAAATTACTCTTTGATGATGATATGCTAGATTCATTGAATAATTAGCTCATTCATTCAAAACTTGAAGAAGTCTTGTACATCTTGATTTTCAATTTGCTAATTTTGAGGAACATTGAAGTTGATATTTTGAAGATTCTTCATCTATTATTGCTATTATTATTGCTAAACCTATTGAAATCCGTTATTATTTTATACTTAATCTTGGAAATAATTATCTTGAATTAGCTGATTAGTAGATTTAACATGATGAAAATTATGAGAGTTATTGCTATTCATATTTATATTAATCGAACTGTTATTGCTTGAACCATTATTGGGAGCACCCCCAAATAACTCTAAAAAGATATCGTCTCCTGTTTTTTATTATGATATGGATCTATTTTAATTTTAATTACCAGCCCCTACCATATTTTGATTACTTACTCCAATTATATTACTATTTTGACTTTGAAATTGTTGTAGACTATTATTGAATCCTTAAATATTAACTTAAGGCTATTATTGCTAAATCAAAGGCTAGTTTTACGTAGCGTTTTGAATAGGTCTTGCATTTAAGTTTAAGTTTTAGAATTAATTCTAAACTTAAGCATTAACTTATTGATGTTGCGTAAATTATTGTTATTAGGTATTTTGAGTAAATGGCTGGAAATAATTATTCTAAATTTAGAAGTTTGACTATTACTATTATGTTGGGAATTGCTAATTTTAACTTAAATTGCTGTTAAATTGCTATTAAATTTGACTTGGAGAAAATGTATTCATTGCAGTTGTGTTAAGAGTAGAATTAGACTAAAAGTTGTTTGTCAAATAATTGTTTTGATTTACCTAAGTTACCGTTCTTTATTACGCAAAATGATTATGCTACTATGTGGGTAGTATCTATCTCTGCTATTATATCTACTAGTAATTATTGCTACCAAAATTAAGATCAATCAAGTCTCCTATTGATTGTTATGAGCTCTTCATATTAAAAGAATCACTTTGGGATAAACTTATCAAGTCTTCATTATTTTTGTTGCTAGAAGATACATTTGATTTAAGCAATTCATCAATTGCTTAAGATTATGATAATTCATTACTTCCCATTCCACCGAGTAAATCATCAATAGCCCCTGTCCCAGTCATCGAATTTTCTTTCGATAGTTAAGGCTAATTACTGTCTACATAACTATCATGAATATTAACTTGCATCATATTGAAATTCTACCTGCTTTACTATTAGCTAATTTATTACGCTTAGAAATTCTATGTCTAAGACCTAGCTCTTGCTAAGTTGAGGGTACCAGGAAATAGTAAATCCAGTAATTTATACTCAATCTCTTATTTCTTGTCATAATCAATTTTACATACTGCGACATTGAATACGCCGAATACAGGCCTATGATCTGAAAAATAAGATTCCCGTCGACCATATCTTTGCAACTCAATATTTCCTCCGCATTTTTAACTCTTCTCATAAAGAATTCTATCACACCAAGCAGGAGTTCTCAACTTTTGAGAAGTATCATAAGTATTAGAATGATCATCATACTTATAAGTGGGATCAAAGTCAAGTATACCTTCGCTAAATCTATTAAGTATTGAATTTTGAGATTTAACTGAGAGTAGTTAATCTTTTGATTGTAAATAAGGATAGTTCCTCTTTCTAATTTCATCTTTAACTGTTTCATAGGGTAAGGATATTCTAAAGTTTAGATCTCCAAAAATAAACTTATAATCATGTGATTAAATCATGAAGTCTTAGAATTTTTGGGAACAATCAAAAGACTTTTTGTATATTTCTCTAATGTCCTCCAGTCTTTCACTTACTTGCTTTTATCCGCTAGTCAAATGGCAATTAATGAAGGCAAAACTACTATTGTCAAAATTAAATCTAATAGCAACCGAACCTTTATTTCCACTTTATCCTCCAAATCCTGTCTTTACTTTTGATGTTCTGATAGAATTTATTCTATTTTTGTGCTCGTCTTTGATATAGAGAAGAATAAAGCAGCCAACCATAGGTTTCTTTGAAACACAAACATATCTGTGTCTTTTACATAAAGAGTTAGTGATTATTTTCTCCCATAGCATTACCTTCTCTCTATCCTTGCCTTAAATGACAGACTTGGCGCTTAGCTTGACCATTTCTTAAAGACCAACAATATAGACATCTGGTCTTTCCTAATTGTCTTCCTGATATAAAATATTTCCAATGTCAAAAGTAACTGGCGGAGTATTGCCTGCACAGTTCCATGTGATAATATTTATTGTAATATCCTACCAAGACATGAAATGATTTTGATACTTCTCAAGTTATTTCTCCAGCTACGCTCTAACACCATATTGCTGTTATTAAGGATGCTGATTTATCAATAACTTTATACATTCATGCTTATGACCATCTTCAATATTGTTAACTAAAAATCTCTCAACACCTCTTCTCATCTAGTCAATCTTTCCCATTATGCCTTACTTTCCAGTTTTAGTGACTGAGGTAATTGTTGAACTAGTGCCTGCATATTGTTTGCTAATCATATCTCCATTCTCAGCCCACATATTCTTGAGGATATCAAATACGAAAGCATCATTATTAGAGTCAAGACCAAATCCAAGATTATCATCTTGTCTCTGAGTTTTTCTGTTCATTCCTTTTACCTTATCAAGGATAGTTTCAATTATCTTTAATGCTACTTTAGTCTGTGTAACGTTAGTTCTATCAAGACAGTCCAAGCAATTAGTTCTCATAATACCCTTCTATTCTTGAACAATTTTTCCAGTATTTCTATCTTCAACAAAGTATAAGAATTTCTTAATAAGCATATCCTCGATTTTTATCATCAAGTCATTTAACTTGTGGAAGTTCTAGAATACGATGAATATAATATAATAATCTTACGTCACCCTTTGTTTCAGTATGAAAATCAAAATATGTATATTTAACGCATTTAGGCTAACAAATCTTGAAGAGTTTTTCTAAAGCCTCAGTAAGCATATACTCATTGCTTCTACCTTTTTAAAGCAAATTAATGAAAATTACCAATCTATAATCATTCACCATATCATTAAGATGCTTATCAAAAGCCTAAGATGTAAGTGTCTCATCTCTTTTTATAGAAGTATGTGCTTGGATACCTTTTTATTGCCAAAATAGTGGAACACTTCCTCTTATTTGAACGAAAGAATAGATAAAGTTCCTATAACTCATAATCTACTCTGTCTCAACGTAATTAGCTACATTTCCATCATCATCTAAACCTCTAGCATTGTACCTTGTGCCAGACATTGCAAATCTTCTCCTTGATATTAGTAAGATTTCAAGTTCTTTTCCATCAAATATCTGTGATGAATACTCTACATAACCCTAAATAATAGGCACTATCCATCTAGGATCCACTTTTTAATACAGAAAATCCTGGCAAATATTAAAGTTCCAAAAATACCGCTTATCACATTATTCCCATATACTTTAAGAGTCCCCTCCCATCATGCCTTTGTTTCGTAAATTAGCTGATCTCTGTCTATTGGAAGTAATATCAGTGTTATATGAGAAGTAAAATCCTAGAGTCAATAGTTTCTTAACTCCATCAATGAAGTTTCTAATCTGGTTTACAGAGTGATCATCTCCAAATGGAATTAAATCAACATTTTTAATAGTGAAGATGTTAGCACCATCTATCTTTCCAATCATCTGCTTCTCAGTTATTACAACAATAAAGTTCTATCCTTGAATATTGAGAACTCCTAGCAGCCCACTAATTGGATTCTATAGACCTCTCCTTTCATCTTCAACTGTATAATCTAGAATTAATATTAATGAATCATTCGATTGAAGATATTTAGTGTTTGGCTTACTCTTCTCATAGATTTTGCAGAATTTTTTCTCTATTACTAGTACTTTTTATTGGCCATTCTGTCCATCTAAGTCTGAATTAGATCTTCCCATCGATTAATTGTTTTGAGATATGACCTAGAATTTTAGCAATAAGTTCAATAATTTACTCTAAATGAATCAGGCGTGTTTACTAATATCCAAAAAGGATCTGAACTATTTCTACCGAGTTCTACCATTAAAATTCAAATTCGTCAATTTAATTAATAAATGAACTTAATAGAGTTAGTTTATAAAATAAAGGATTAAATTTAGATTTCTTTTATTAAACTTAAACTCAATATAATGGGGTTTTGGGGTTTTGGGGTTTTGGGG